CCTGTGGCTGTCCTGACCCACTTGGATGATTTGGAGGGGTGCAGTGGTTTGACCCTGGCCGGCAGCCAGGGACCTGCACAGCCACTCTCTCACCCCCACCTTCTCTGCTAGACAGTGGGGGAAAATATATCAAAGGGCTCAAGGTTTGAGATAAGGACAGAAAGATCACCTGCATTTACCATCCCAGGCAAAACAGACTAGATTTTGGGGAAATTTATTAAAAGAACCTACCAGAGAAGAGTAGTGAGAATAAGAAAAGCAAACAGATCTTAAAAGAAACATCTTCCCTCCATACCTCCCTTCTTCACAGAATCACAGAATGTCAGGGGTTGGAAGGGACCTCAAAAGATCATTTAGTCCAACCCCTGCCAGAGCAGGATCACCTACAGTTCTTCCCAGGTTCAGCACCAATCCAGGTTTGTCCACCCCTTCCCCCTGAGCGGCACAGGGTGCAGAACCTTGAACCATAGGCTCCGGACTCACTCGCCTGAGATATCCTCGACGGAAGCCACACAACACAAGCTGTGTGATTTTGGAGCCGAGCCCACAAAAGAGCGAACGATTGAGTTTTGCTCCAAGAGCAAAGGTGTCAGCAAGACAACCTGGTGCTGCTCTGCAACCACCCGTGATGTTTCAAAAACAATCTGTCTATCCCTCTCCACTGAGATGGCCTGTAAAGCAGGAGCTAATTCACGAGACTGATTTCAGGAGCAACCTATGCTTGTTGGTACTTGCTTCTGTTTCTCAGAATTGTGTCTCCGAAAGCAGCAAGTGCAAAGAAGGTACTCTCTAAACCAAATGATAGTTTAGAAAGCTGACATGGTTTATCGGCAAAGTTGCTTAAGTTTGGATGGTAGGTGGAACCAGCATCCAGCATTGAAAAACTGCAACGTATTTATTTTGTAACTTATTAGTATAAACATGCCTAATGCCACTAATTCTACAGTTACTGGTTAGTGATAACAGTTACATTCATCATTGAATCAGTATATTAAAATTAGCTTCTCCTCTCGTGTAAATTAGCACACGTGCTCCTTGCGGGTGTGGGTGGTGAGTTTTCAGCACTCTGAATTGAAGTGATGGTTGCAATCTCCCTGTGCTGCATTTAGTTTTGTCTCACTTTAAGCCTTTCATAAACACTTGTTGATGTTTCGGTACGCTCTAATCTCCGTAAAGGGGGTTTTGACTAGCAACGTCCCGCTTAGGGCTGATTCCACACGTCCCCAAGGACTCCAAGTTCCAACAATGTGAAGGCTTCAGCTCCACTCTTCAGCAGTTTCAGGAGATGAACAATGAACTGGGCACGCGCTTGATCAAGTCCTTCAGAAAAACTTCAGAAAAGTTCACTAGTCTTAATAAAATGAGTTTGACATGTGGTACCGGGACACTCTCAAATCAAGTCAATTTAGTCTTTTCAATAAGTGTGCCTTCATTGTTCAGACTTGAGTTTAATTTCTCAGTGGAATTTAGAACCCAAAAGGGAAATTTCTTTCCAAAAAAGCCCCTAAACCCCCCTCAGTCCTCTTTGGTCTCACCCTTATCTCCCTAAATCCCTTCCTGCCGGGGTCTCCAAATCCTCTCTGTGTTTGCCTCAATCACTCCGTGCCTCCCCGAGCCTCCCTGGTGGGGGATCCTAAATCCTTTCTGCTGCCCCCCAACTCCTCTATGGTCCTCAAATGCCCCTCCCTCCTCACGGGAGAGCATTTTCAATCAGTTCATTAATCACTCATTTTTAATTTAATCATTCATTTTTAAAGATGTCCCTGCTCTCTGCAGGGAGATTGGACTGGATGAGCTCTACAGGTCCCTTCTATCCCAATGCTTTCTGAGATTCTATGATTTATATAAACCAGTTCATCTAGTTAGTGTACTGCATAGCATGCTCATATAGTGTTTTACCTACTGAAACAGAATATTTGATAATCTGAAATTATTTTTTATACTTTTTTTTTTTTTATGAAAAAGGTCAAGCTATTAACTTTCTGTGACCAAATTTCAGTTGTTGGTACTTCTCATGGCGCAGGAATCCCTTTTCCTAACAATTCTTGTGGGAACATGCTAAAAGCTTGCTTTTTCTTGCCAGTTCAGGTTTCTGAATTATTCAGTTGTAATCACAATGACCTAATTTGCTAAGGAAACAACATACTTCATAGGTAGCATGTGACAGATGAACTTAATTAATGCTTGGAGCTTCAGTTTGGATTAGAATCTAGAAGCCCAAATGCCTATCTGAAATGTATCCAAATGGCAGTGCTGGAACTGCTGAGAACTGAAACCAGCTCTTCCATTCTGCTCTGAGTTTTATGCGCTTTTTTATCAAGTGAGGGGTTGATCCGAGCTCAATCTTTTATGAGTTAATTTATGATCTAGCACTGTATTCCTTACTTACTTTCTATAAATCATACTCTTCTCTACCAGGCAGCTACATCTAAATTTGATGGTTTTCTTATTTTATTTATTTATTTATTTATTTTTAATCTGAGATGCGTAAGATTTGCATGTGCTATTCGCCAATATTATCCAATAATATGGAAGCAGCATAATACCAGCTTTACTCCTGACCAACACTGTCATTCACATATGTTTTATGGTACACCTCTCGTTCTACCATAGGCAAAAATTATGCGCCAGTTTAATTTAGATAGGCTCGGAAAATGTACAAAGACAGGTTTCACATAGAAACTTTTCCTCTGAGCTCATGCAATGTCAAAAAAGCGCACTTTGGCTGCCAGCTTATCCCAGCACTGTCACCCCAGATGAGCCAGCTACAACAGAAGCGGTGTAGCTTTGAAGATGCAATTGCAAGCCAGGCACTTTTTTTTTAATTTTTTTTTTTTTTTTTTT